CTTTTAGGAAACTGAAGGAAGACCACTGTTAGGGCTAACCCATAGGGTGCTGGGGGCGACACACGTACAAACAGTTGTCTTTTGCTACCCTCCCTAATTGCCATGTGGAATGGGGCACTGTTACCTTAGCATAGAGACTGATTTCAAACAGGCCCCTCAAGCTTTCAGTTTGAATATTTCTAATTAAAAGGTCATTTTCAAATTCATTAAGTTGTGACTTCTAAATTTTTTAGGAAGAAGTTTAAAACACGGTCAGGGGAAACGGTACGCCTCATAGACCTTCTGGAAGAAGGACTCAAACGGTCTATGGACAAATTGAAAGAAAAAGAGAGAGACAAGGTAATCCAAGGCCTTTTTTTGTATAATGTATGCTGTGCATTATGTATAATTTTTTTGCTTTGATACTGGGGATTGAACTGTGAGCTACATTCCTAGTCCTTTGAATTTTCCAAGACTGATCTTGAACTTGCCATCCGCCTGCCTCAGCCTTCTGAGTCTCTGGGATTACAGACATGTGCCAGGCTGTCATTTTTTCAATTTTTGAGGAAAATTACAGGGAGTCAGTCTAACTAGGCCAGGCTTATATTGCTCAGATTTTAGTGCATAATGAATTCATGAATTGTACTGAGCATTTGAAAAAAGTATGATTCTTGGCTATTACCAAAGGTCATGGCTTTTTCCTTCTTTGTTAATGTGACATTGTAGCTCTGCTGCCTTTTAGCTGTTTTAAGTGGTTATACATGATAGAATGCATTTGTGCACTTTGATATACATAGATGGAGTATAATTCTCATTGTACATGTTGTAGAATCACATCAGTATGCCATACATAAGGTGATAATGTTTGTTTCAATATACTATCCTTCCTATCCCCATATCCTCTCCCTTCTATCTAAGGTAACTGTTCTTCACCCCGCCGTTGTGAGTTAGCATCCACATATCAGAGAAAACATTCAACCTTTGGTGTGGGGGTGCGGGGAGTGGCTTACTTTACTTAGCATATTCTCCAACTCCATCCATGTACTGGCAATTGCCATTACTCATGCTTTTTTAAACTGAGTAATATTCCCTTGTGTATATCCATATTCTCTTTCTCCATTCATCTATTGAAGGACATCTAGGTTTGTTCCATAGTTTATAGCATCTCAATTCACAGTAGCTAAACATTGTCACTATAGTATGCTGATTTTAAGTCCTTTGGTTATAGACTGAGGAGTGGGATAGCTAGGTCAAATGGTGGTTCCATTTCGAATTTTCTGAGGAATTTCCATAGTAGTTGCACCAATTTGCAGTCCCACCAGCAATGTATGAGTGTGCCTTTTCCCTCACATCCTCACCATTTATTGTTGCCTCTATTCTTGATGATTGCCATTCTGACTAGAGTGAGATGAAATCCTAAGAGTAGATTTGCGTCTGATACAGATGAACACTTTTTCATATATTTGTGGATAGATCATATTTCTATGAAGTGTCTGTTGAGTTGCTTAGCACATTTATGGGAGTTTTCTGTGTTCTTTATATATCCTTGAGATTAATGCTTTGTCTGAAGTGCATGTGGTAAAGATTTTCCCCCAGGCTGCAGGCTCTCTCTTCACATTGTTTTGCTGAGAAGGAGCTTTTGAGTTTGAGTCCATCCCATTTATTGATTTTACTTGTTGCACTTTAAAGGTCTTAAGGGAGACAGATCCTAGGCTGACATGATGAAGATTTGGGCCTACTTTTTCCTCTAGTAGGTGCAGGCTCTCTGTTCTAGTGCCTAAGCCTTTGATCCACTTTGGTTTTCCCAGCACCATTTGTTGAATAAGCTATTTGTGTGGGTTTTTTTTAAATGATACGTAAAAGCCTAAAAATTATTCTCTGGGGTACCATGTGATGTTTGTGTGTATATTGATATTATTTCCTTTGACATCTATCATTTCTTTATGGTGAAAACATTCAAAATCCTAACTTTGAGATATACAGTATATTACTCTGCAGTAGCACAGCATGGGAATAAGTACCCATGCCTGTGGCAATGCCATTCCACTCTGAACTTGATGAACTTAAATTCCACAAGAGTACATGTACTACTTGTCTTTCTATGCCTGGGTTATTCCCCTTAACAGAATGTTCTCCCATTTCATCTATTTTATGGCAAATGATAGGATTTTGTTCTCTTTTTATGCATGCCTGCTTAGTATTCCCTTGTATATATGTACCATATTTTCCTTACCCATTTATCAGTTGATGGACACTTAGGTTGCTTCCACATTTGGCTTTGTGAACAGTGTTGAAATTAACATGAGTCAGGTATCTCCTTCCACATACCCATTTCATTTGCTTGGGTACACGGCCCTACTGTTTTGTCTTTTGAGAAGCCACCAATTTTCATAGTGGCTATACTGATTTACCTGGCTACCACTAGTGTACTAGGTTTCCCTTTTTTCCCCACATCCAGGCAGTCATTTGTCTTCTTAATAATAACCATAAGGTTATCAACTCAGAATGGTTTTGATTTACATTTCTGTACTGTTAACATTTTTTTCCATTTACCCATTAATGTCATCTTTTGAGAAATGTCCATTCAGATCTTTTTTGGAGTATTAGGGGATTTTGCTATTGTTTGAATTATTTTGGGTATTGATCCCTTTTCAGATGTGATTTGCAAATACAGTTTCTCTCATTTGCTTTGCTGTGCAGAAGCTTTTGGGTCCTGGTCCATTCCAGTAACATTTCTCTAATGTTTTCCAGTAGTTTCAGGTTGATCTTTAGTGTGTTTTGAGTTAATTTTTTTTTTAATTTGTTTGCATTCTTCTGCAGGTAACCAATTTTTTCTAGCACCACTGTTGAAAAGACTGTCCTTGCTTCACTGCATGTTCTTAGCACCTTTGCCAAGAATCAGCTAGAAGGGCTGCGTGTTCTTGCTCTGTGTTCAGTCCTTAAGAGGAAGAAAAATAATCAATTGGTTGTAGGTGTATGAGTTTACTTCTAGGCTTTTGTCTTTTTTTTTTTTTTTAAACCAACATCTTGTTTTGATTACTTTTTATTTTTGGTACCGGGGTCGAGTGCCCCCGTTTTGTGTTTTATTTAGAGACAGGGTCTCACTGAGTTACTTAGCGTCTTGCTTTTGTCACACTGGCTTTGAACTCTCGATCTTCCTGCCTCCCAGGTAGCTGAAATTATAATCATGGGCCACCATGCTCAGCAGTTGTTTTGGTCTTCATGTATGAAGACCAAAATAGGCCATGTTTGTAGAGCACTCGGATTTTGTATAGTTACTCTTACCAGCTCACTAGTGAGTTTTATGACTTATGTTTCGGTTGTGTATATCTTTCTATTGTGATATCAGATTTTTTTCTTGCAGCTTTTGAGTTTCCCTTAAAAGAGCTGTTTTAAATTTTTCTATCCAGGAATTCCTCCCACTGTGTTTACTAATCCAATCAGGTTTTGGTGCATTAAACTAGGCCATGGCCCCCAGAACATCCTTGATGCTCACCCAGTATGAGACATCAGCCAGAGGTTACAGGATGAGGTTCTTCCTAATTTGTGCCCATCTTCCCAGAAACCTAAATTTTAAGAACAGTTCTGCTATTTGAACACTAGGTGGCACTATATGCCTAGGTTTGCCACAAGTCCACGGTACTGTTATTTCAGCAATAGAGTGGGATCTAAGCCAGGTTTGGGCAACTACACAGTTGTCCTCTCAGTGAGCATTGTCTGTGGGAATATCTAAAGGATATTCCATCCCAGAGACTCCTGGTGCCAAAGTCAACAGCCTGTGGTCAGGCCAAATCATTGTGGAGGGAGCTACCCCAATGTCTGTGACCACCATTGCCACCCTGAGTCCATGGCTTGATGAGCTCTGCATAGCACTGAAGGGAGGACTAAGGCCAGTGCTGCTGTGGGCCGCTTACTGATGTGGTACACTTGGGGCCTAATACAACCAGGTATGGGTGTTGCTGGCCAGAATAGTGTTCTAGTGGACTGGGGCTATGTGTCTTACCCTGGGATTGGCACCATTGGGATCTAGCCAGTGTTAATTTTCATGAGCATGGCACTTGGTTTCAAGGCAAAGTCCTGTGTTTACTTTCCTCCCAATGTAGAAGTCTTGTTCCGTATTTATGCCGTGCACAATAGTGGCAAAGGCAGCCCCTTGTCCATAATGATAGTAAGCCCGGGCACACCCAAGTACAAGGGCCTCAGGGGTGTGCCCATGCAGCAGTTGGCAGTGAGGCAGGTCAGAAACGTGAGTTTATCCCACTGAGGGATAGCTCTGCTGCCTGTGGTTGTGTAGTGAAGACGGCCACAAAGGCTGACAAAGTTGGGATGCACCGAAGTCTCCCAGTCATGGGTATTCGTGTAGGTTTTGCCCCAGGCCCATTTGAAGAACAGACCTTAGGTCTGTCCCATTTGTGCAAAGGCCCCTGCCTGCTGCCAGGAGGCTCCCTCTGTGAGCTTGGGCCTGTGCTTAGGGGGCCTCTTTCCTAGTACTCAGCTCCAAGATGAACTCCTAGCTTTTGTGCCTTTGCTCCCCGCACAGTAATCTTTTTCTCATCTTGCCTCTGCCCACAACTGGATTTTTGCCATGGCAGGCCTCATACAGGGTTTCTGAAAGTGTGAAGACCTGTAGTTATTTTCCTTTCCCCTAAGCAACAGGTGTGTCTCCACACTGATCAAATGATTCAGTCAACTCTTTCTTGCCTTCAAAGCATCTTACAGTACTAAAACCCATAAATGTTGGTCTGTCCACCATGTGCCCTCCCCCATCAAGTAGTTTGCATGAATAGTTCAATTTGAATTGTGATCAAGGATATTTGGCTATAGCTTGTGTTCTTACCAGGTTTTGGTATCAAGCTAATGTAGGCCTGGAAGAATGTCTTCCTCTTTATCTTGAAATAAGAACAATTAATACCAGTTCTTAACAATGAAGCCATCTAGTTCTTGGCTTTTGGTTACAAATTCAGTGTCCTTACTTTGAAGTATTTTTGAGTTTGTGTTCATTGTTGGCAAGCTCTATCTAGGAAATGTGTCTATTTCCAAGTTATCAAAATTGATGGCATAGTTTTTCATAACAGTCTTTGTATTTCTCCAGAGCCTGCCTTTGTGTGATTTATTCAAGTCTTCCCTCTAATTACAGTTCATCTTTGAGGGACAAGCTCTTTGTTTTGTCAATCTTTTGTACTTTTTTAAGTTTCGATTACATTTCTCTCTCCTCTGATCTTAATTTCTTCTAGTTTGGTGTTTAGTTGGGTCTTTTTCATTGAGATGCAACGATAGATTGTTTATCCGAGCTCCACTTGTTGTGAGCATTGACTTGCTATATACTTCCCTCTTGGTGCTGGTTTTGGTACATCATGTTTCAGAAACTTAACATGGCCTTGATACATCAGTAAATAGGCAAAGGAACTAAACACCTTTCAAGAAATAAGAACCATCAATATATGAAAAGATGTTCAACATGTCTAGCAAGTAGAGAAATGTAATCTCAGTGTAGCTTTAGTTTACATTTGGGGCCAGGGGTGGTGATGCATGCCTGTTAGCCTGAGGCAGGAGGATTACGAGTTCAAAGCCAGCGTCAGCAATAGCAATAAACACACACCCCTCAAAAAAAAAAAAAAAAATTGTCAAACAGAAGGCTTTGTTTTCTATGCCAGTTGCCCAAAGGGAAAAATAAAACTTCCTACAACGTAATTGCTTCTCCTTATGAGAAACTCATGTACATCATCTACAAGCAAACCTAATGAAAAGGGACTTGAATACAGGCAGTGGAAGAATGTGTGTCCAGTGTTACCATGTCTATCATGTTAGAGAGGAATATAAATAATAAAATTAGCAAGGGGTTGATGACCTTGTTCCTGGTGACATCAGGATCAGCTTAGACAACTTGTCCTCGACCTTTTTTTAAAGGAACATTTAAAAGGTCAAAAACTGCTACAACTTTACTAAGTACAGAAACATTCCATTTAAAGCAACAAAGTTCTTGTTTCATGTTTTTGAAAAACCTGTGAACAACTTTATAACCAACTTAATGAGATTTTCTTTAAGATTTGTCATTCACAAACTCTGCATCAGAGTCCTTCAGATCCTTTACAATCTGCTTAAACCTTTGGTTTTGCCCTCTATTTCAAGTAATTTTATTTGACAATTTTTTTCTACTACCTAGAATTCTTAACTTCCTTTGCTTCTCTCCTACTTACTAGTTCCTTTCTACCCATTTATTTCCTTCCTTAGATTTATAACTTAAAACAGTCCTTTAATAAACATACTTCAAATTATTAAAAAATTATTCAAGGTAAATTTGTTTAGAGTTTGTTTAAATTTTTTTTTAGTTATATATAGACAGAACATCTTTTTTATATGGTGCTGAGGATTGAACCCAGTGCCTCATGCATACAAGGCAAGTGCTCTACCACTAAACCACAATCCCTAGAATTTTTAACAGTTAAACCATAATACCTAGTGAAGACTAGGTATTTCTCACCTAACA